TTAAGTAGCTTATTTAAGTGAATATTTAATAGATTTATATAATAATAGTTTGTATGTATTAGTAAATTAGTTTTTAAATTGTAACAATTAGCCAGCACACCTCTCATGGAAATCAGCTTAATGTTGAATGAAACTGGTGTGCTTAAATAAAGTTTATCTATCTATCTATCGATCTATCTATCTATCTATCTATCTATCTATCTATCTATCTATCTATCTATCTATCTATCTATCTATCTATCTATCTATCTATCTATCTATCTATCTATCTATCTATCTATCTATCTATCTGTCTATCTATCTATCTATCTATCTATCTATCTATCTATCTATCTATCTATCTATCTACCTATCTATCTATCTATCTATCTATCTATCTATCTATCTATCTATCTATCTATCTATCTATCTATCTATCTATCTATCTATCTATCTATCTATCTATCTATCTATCTATCTATCTATCTATCTATCTATCTATCTATCTATGTAAACACTTTTGCTTAGTACTTAATATTCTGAAAATTAATATGCCGCGACAATTGAAAGTTATATCAACGAAAATGCTATGTGTTTCAAAGTGACAACCGAGTGCCAATCGAGCACATATTGAAACCGTTTTATATTACACACATATTTTCATGTCAAATATGCACAATCTTCAAGTGGTTTTCGATAACTTACCTTGCATTTTATTCAACAATAACCTAGGTCGATAATTAACCAGATAGATATGTTTTATCCCTTGCATTTAGAGCACGTTTAATCTCTCCGCATACTCTGGCCAATAATATATTACATCTGTTTATGAGCTCATTTATAATATACTGTTCAGTCTGTTAAATTATGTTACATTGCAAAGATATTGATCACAATAAGCACAGTATAAAGGCATTATATAGGCCAATGCAATTCAGTAAATATGTTATACTAAATGCGATACAATTTTCGCAAAACTGATATTCTAAAACACTCAGTAATTCAAAGAGGTTAAGTATGCTTTTTATTGCCTTTCGGACAATCAGTTTCAAAAGTCTTGGGACAGATGTCACAAAACCTTCAAACCCAAATTTCAACAAACGACAATCCCCCCCCCCCGCCCCCTGTTCAATGTTGTGTCCCATTTCTTATCGGGTTTAATGTGTTTTGGTTTAAACAACATTGATTGTGGTGGGGTGGAGTGGGGTGGGGTGGTTGGGAGGGGAGGGGAGGGGAGCGGTATTGTATGTAAAAACTGTAATGATCCACTTACAAGCTAAAACTACATGTGTCCCAACAACTTCTGAAAGTGATTGTAGATCAGTTAGCACAGGCTACTAGCAGTGCATTTGGAACAACCAACTATTGAGTTTGAATAAGAGAGACATTTCATATATGGAACACAGTTATAGTTGGTGTGTCCTTTGACTATATATTTATAAATAATTTAATTTATAATATAATAACTATTTTACTCCTTGTTATCACAGTATGTATGGAAATGTTATGATTTGCATGACAAAAGCATGGTAAGTTTTTGTTTGTTTAACCCCTCCCCCTGCCCAACGTTTGTATCATTCTTATGTGCTACCATGTTTCTAAGTAAATATCTCATGTTACCAATTATTTTTTCTACAGTTTTGCAATTTGGACGAAGGTGAGTGCTGCCATATGTTAACTGCTGGTTTTGACCAAATGGTTGTTACAGCCAAAATATAATATGGATATATTACATAGCATGAATATGTATGGGACCTTCGGGATTAAGAGAAATTTCTATTAAAGCAAGCAAGAATGCTGATTTACAAGATTTTATGGATAAATGACATCTAATGCAATGGGATGCTCCACTTTCTATGAAAATTTTAAATTGATTACAGCCCCAATCGTCAATATCATTATAGATCAATCGAGAGTAAGTCCTCCTGAGATTAAAAAAGCTCAAATCAATGAGAAAAATCATACCCGCATCCTATGAAGACGAAATGAGAAAGCTGAAGCGAACCTGATTGCAGAAAGATTACCTCCAAATCTACAAAGAGCGATAGAAGTTTCTACTGAGAAAGGAGCTTCCACATGGCTTACCGCGCTTCCGTTGTCTGACTATGGGTTCAACCTACACAAAGGAGCTTTTCGAGATGCCCTATGTCTGAGATATGGATGGCTTCCTCAGCATCTTCCTTTCCGCTGCGTCTGTGATCAGAAGTTCACAACAGAGCATGCCTGAAGTTGCTCACGAGGAGGCTTTCCCTCAATCCGACACAGCAAGATAAGAGATATTAGTGCTGAATTCTTGACGAGGTATGCTATGGAGTTGGTGTCGAACCAGGCCTACAACCTGTAACTGATGAAGCGTTTTCATAAAGATCAGCAAATAGAGAAGATGGTGCTCGACTGGATGTTGTAGCAGAAAGTTTCTGGGGGCGCGATCGGCAACGTGCATTTTTGACGTCAGGCTGTTCAACCCTTTCGCACCGAGCTATCGTAAGAATGAACTGGAGAAAAGAAGAGCGTACGACGAAAGAACTAAAGAACTGAAATAGAACACGGGTCATTTTCTCCGCTGGTCTTCTCGGCAGCGAGTGGTATGGGTGCCACTGCAAACGTGGTCTACAAGAGAATAGCATCCTTGATCGCTGAAAAACAAGGCAATCCATATAGCAAGACAATAAACTGTCTTAGGTGCCGACTTAACTTTTCATTGTTGCGGTCAGCGATAATGTGCTTACGTGGATCCAGATCTTCCCACCACAATCGAATTAATTCCTTTGGTGGGGAGATTGAACTAGCACTAGTTGAAGGTCGTGTATCTTGCTGAACAAAATTTACACTGTAATTGTATAGGAACATACGAACTCGTTTGGAAAACTAATAAACAGATGCAACTGATCGTTTAACTTTAAACATTTTTTTATTGTAACTATAATTTTAATGTGTATCTTTAATAAAAGTTCTTATATCTTTAGAAAAAAAACAACTCCAAAAAAAAACAAAAAAACAAATCAATCATGTCACGTTAAAAGACATATGTTTGTTCTTCTTAACTGTGTGTTTCTAGATGTTTTGACAAGTGAAGAAGTTTAAAACGTTGGTACCAACAATCACATGTACAAATATGAAAATCCGAAGTACAATTTACAGTATATAGTAATTATTACATCTTATATTTCGATGTTTTTAAAACAAAATAAATTCATATACATACAGTATGTGTATAAGGTAATTTAGATAAGTGAAGTTTATTGGTATAATCAATCCCCTGGGCTTTGGTCGTAAGACAACACTACCCTTGCGATAGTAACTTATAGTCATTGTTAAGGATTTAACTATGGTGATTACTGCGCTAATCATAGTTAAAGTTAACGACGTTGTTATACAACCGGTCTCTGAAGACGAATCGTACACAACAAATAGCAGAGTCTGAACATACCTTTGCGGCTCACTTGAAATTCTCCGCAATAATAACAATAATAATAATAAGTCGCTGAAAAGGCCCTGGGAATGAGGTTGATCTAGATGCGCAGACACATTCTCGTAACCAAAGCATGCCCGTTGGCAAGTGCGTCTGCATGTGTGTCTGTCAGGGGCCGTTTGTATAAAAAAAGTAATTAGCGCTAACTGTGGTTAGCGTTATTAAATGTAGTTAAATCAACAGTGGTTAGTTATAACTACATGCCTTAACTGCGTTGTACAAAACGTAGTTAATCGGTAGGTCAACTAATCACGTAGTTAACTGTGCATGGTGCGTTTAAACACAAAATTACATAAGCTAAGCGGTGATTAAGGACCGCTGACACGCAATTTTTAACATGATTTTGAACTCGTATTTTCAAAAAGGGCGGGAATTTTATTCAAAACACTAGAAAACAGTCAAAAATAAGCAAGAATACAAGAAAAAACCAATACCAAAAATCATAAAAGAAGGCAGCTTTTCCGTGAGATGTTTACGTTAAACCAAGGTGTAGCTGTTTAGCAATTATAGATTCAGTGTTCCTTGGTGTAATGGACCATTCTTCGTCTTATGATTATGGTTTATTGAGACTCTTTCGCAGTTACAAAGGCTGAATTACAGAGTTTATATATTTACAATATTAATATAAGAATCTGCATATATACCTATACACTGCAGCATGTTCTTAAAACGAATGAGTTCTGATGTCTTTCTGTTTCCGATACTATGGCCTCTAATTTCTCCTTACGATCGAATTTTAGCATTAGGCAAAACTTTATAGCACGGGTGATCTTTGTATCGGGTGATTTGTATCTACAGAGAATCTTTCTTAGTGGGCTCGTCTCTTGTTTCCCAGAATGCCTTCCCAGAATGTCTTCAAGAGAGAGAAAAATATAGCAAGTTTTTTTAAAAGAAGCTTTTTTCAATAATTGAAAAGAGTTTTTCAACTAAAAATGACGTCTTTTCTTTGCGCGAAAAGCTAACATACACGTGGCAGTACGTAAACCACGGTAACGGGCATACATAATTACATTCATAATGAAATCTGCTGAAAAATGAAAAAAATTTAAATCGAGAAGTATAATATTGTTATTAAAGAAACAATGTAGTCATATGACATTAGATATGTAACTAGTAATAGGAACAACGACAGAAACAGCAACAAGAACAATATTTTATTAACACCTTACTCTGGCCATACAGTTGAAATTTTGATATTAAAACTCCAAGCGGCATAAAAGTGAACTATATTTAGTAGAGATCGTCGTCAGCGAAGATAAAAATTACGTCTGATACGCTCCATACAGCAAAGAGAAATGTGCAATAAGTCCTATGATGAAAATATTATCATTGCAACTTTAAATAGCTTTAGATTAATTCTACTGCATGCGTGACAAAACATTTCAATATATGTATCAAAAAATGATAATGCAAATGTACCGTTAATCACACAATGTTTCAACGTTTAATTATGCTATGGAAGGTTATTTAACACCAAAAATTTTCGAAAAACGATTTGGCTTTTTGAGTGATGGTAATTTTGGATGGGTTTAATAAGTTTCCTGGACAATCAGGTTCGTCTACCAATACTCCTCGTTTGATATTCATTGGCTCGATGGGGTCTTGGTACTCGGTTTTTTCCACGAATTGCAAGATCAGTAAGTATCTTTCCGATCATTGGAACAAACTTCATTGCCCAGCCGCCAGTGAACACGACGATAAGTTTCGATTCGGGCAGTAGAAAATCAATTACAAACCCAGCACCTTCGTCTTTCTCGTGTACATTTTCATTCAATTGGGCAAAACCAGCAACACACGTGGATTCTTCCTTTTCCTTCAGCGACGGATCCAAATCAGGCATGAATTTATCTACGAAGTTGCTGGTAAATTTCAAAGCATTTTTATCTAGGGGCCGTTTGTTTATTTCGGGGGGAAAGAGCATGAAGTCGAATTCCTTTTGTGAAGTGCATGCCGGTGCAACTCTAAGGTACTGGGGACGTTCTGGTTCACTCGGAAAACCATAATAATCGTTGTGATCTTTAGAGGCTTCGGTACTGTCGTCCTTCGGTTTGGGACCAAAGAAATACCATATTGGCCATGTAGCTAGGTCTGTCCCTGAAGGAAGAGGTTTGTGTTTTTCTGCGAAGTACGTAGAGCACCACAGATAGATGATCAGATTAATACGAAAATCGACTGGAGGATGAACTGTGCAGAAAACTTCGTTTACATATGCTCCGGAGGTCAGGATTATCTTGTTACCGCGGTAGGTCTCCTCATTGCCGTCTACCACTACTTTCACTTCGACATATTCTTCGTTAGAGTAGTCGATCTTGGTCACTCGTGCATTATTTATTAACATGGCATTTGGTATTTTCAAAGCTTCGACATAATGATAAACAAGGCCAGGAACATTAATAGTTCCACCTTTGACGGTAAACAGGGCTTCGGGATTGTCGATTTCAACCACAGCTCTGGAAATGAATGCGAATTCTGTACTGTTCATGATCGCCTCTTTTCCCTCCAGAACTCTGTAATCTTTCCCCTCTATTTCACCTAGAGCCTTAAGATTTTGAATTGCTAGGTCAATGTTCCCTTCACTGCTTTCTACACTGGCGTCACCAAACCAGAGACAGCCAGTTAATTGGACAAGACTGTCGTCGTTCATTTCTTTCTTCAGGTTTTCCCACATAACGTAGGTCTTAAGTGCCAGATCGCTCAGATTTTTCTCCGAATAACTGACGCGAAATTGTCGACTGTATCCAACACTCGAACTGTGAACGTTGGCAAATTCGCTAAACCGTTCGAGAAAAAGCACTTTCTTTCCCTCTTTCACAGGGCATTCGTAAGCTGATGTGAGACCCATTGGCCTCCGCCAACGATAATGACATCATACATTTCCATTGTTAGCCAGAAGTTATCTTTTGTATTCGCTAGATTGGATGGATAACATTGTATTATAGCAATGGGGAATTAAAAGAAATTATTGCAGAAAAGCATTATACCGAGTGGCGGGTCACATATACGCGTACTTTCCCTAAAATAAATATATATATATATATATATATATATATATATATATATATATATATATATATATATATATATTTATTTT